GACGAAGGAACACCCTCGGAGTTGGTGGCAATGGGAACAACGCCCTCAGAGGTCAAGGTGTCGCAGGGGGTGGAAGAAGCACCGGGGGCAGAGCCGGAAGGAGTGCCGTTGACGGGGCTCTCACCGCTGGGGGTAGGGGAGCCAGAGGGAGAGGCGGCGGCGCTGGAGGGCGACAGAGGAACGTTGTTGCCAGAGGAAGGAGTGCCGGAGGGAGAAGCAGACGAGCTGGAGCCAGAGATGGAGCCAATGACGATAGAGCCGTTGAGGTCAACACCGGTCAACCATCCGAGGAGGGTCAGGCGGATGTCAGTGGTGATATCAATGTCGACAGCACCAGCGATGACAGCAGCCAACTGAGCACGAGCGTCAAGAGACAGCGAGAGCAGGCTCTCACCACCGGTGAGGATGGAGAGAACACCGCCCAGGATGCTCGAGAGGAGCTCAGTGACAGTGTTGAGGACGAAGGTGAGCAGGTTTCCGATTAGGCCACCGCCAAGGTTGACGCTAATGTCAACGTCGACACCAATGGACAACCAGAGCAGAACAACGGCCTGGAGCTCAACACCGAGAGAGATGTCGGAACCAGAGAGCCACTTAACCAGAGCAGTGCGAGCCTTAGTGTCGAGAGCAGAAGAGGCCTTGCCGTTGACAATGAGCTCAAGGGCGGCCTTGATGTCAGCGTCGAGGTTGGCAGCAATGTCGGCCTTGAGGAAGGCACCGAGACCAGCCTTAGCGGCGTCGGTAGCGAGACCGTCAGCGCCAATACGGGCACCGATATCAGCACCAACGGAGATGGTGGTGAGACCGCCAGCGGGGACGTTGCCGAGAGCAACAACACCGTCAGCAGACTTGCCCTCCAACCAAGCGAGGAGAGCAACCTTGATGGAGGCACCAAGGGTGACCTTGGGGCCGTTGAGGTAGGCCTGGAGAGCAGCCTTGACGTCGGCGTTCATGCTGCTGACGAGACCGCCACCAGCAGCAAGGTGGAGACCAGCCTTGATGTCAGCACCAAGGTGGGCAGCACCGGAGCCCTTGAGGAAAGCAGCAAGCTTGTCCTGGAGCGAGGCGCTCAAGACAACCTGGGCCTCAATGTCGGCGGCACCAAGGATACCGTCAAGGGTAACAACGAGGCCACCCTTGGCAGCAACGTCAGCGGCGTGAGGGCTCAGAATGGAGAGACCAGCAGAGACGTCGACATCGAGGATGTCGCCATCACCACCAGTAGCCCACTTGAGGAGGGGAGAGCGGAGGGAGGCATCGAGGTGAACGCCAACATCAGCGCGCAACCAAGCGGCAAGCTCCTTGCGAGCCTTGGCGTGAACGGAACCAGCCTTAACACCCAATGCACCAGCCTGGAGGGCCGCAGCGGCGTTCGCGTGGATGCCGTCGAGGATCTTAGCGGGGCTCTGGTCCTGGCCACCGCCAAGGAGGCCGCTGAGCAAACCACCCAAGTTCAGGCTAACATCGATGTCGATATCGAGGCCAACGGTACGACGGTCCATGGCCATGTCGGTTGGCAAGGCGAGAGCCGTGCTCGCCATACCGGCGAGCATGAGAAGGTTGTTCGAACGCATTTTGTAACGAGGGATTTCAAGCAGTAGTCAATCGGCGTAGAATGAGCGTATAGGCCGGAAAGGCGTAGTCTATCAAGAAAGGGTAAAAAAGAAAGAATAATGGCTGTGAACAGCCAAAAAGTGGTTTAACGACAGACTGGTTAAAAAAAAAAAAAAGAAACAAAAAAGAAACAACAAACACTTGAAGATGTAGCGATTGACAGAGAGCTTGACGAAGGACGAGGAAAAGAGATCTTCGTCGAGGTTTATATACCCCTGAGGGCTTCTTTCTCCTGGTGCCGGGGCCATCACTTGGGAAATGGAGACCATACCCCAGTCTGGGAAGTATCCACTCCCCCTAAGACCCAAAGCCACACAGAAAGATTCGGAAAGTGTCCATCCATTGCTGATCGAGGAAGGCCGGATCTTCCTTCATTCGAGGTTCAGGTACCGGTGGATCCACCAACTGCCAGTGGCTGTCCTCCGTCCAGAAAAAAAAAATAAATAAAATAAATAAAAAGGATGTGGAAACAACACGAAACAAGCGGACGAGAATTCTATTTCGAGTTACGGGGGTTTCCCTTCCGCCAGTACTCTGTATTTTGAGTAATGGTAGCGTCCTCAGAGGGCCCCAGCCTGTTGTAGTAAGGTAAGTTCAACGAATAGTGCTCGGTTCTGTAATTAACGCGCATATACGAGAGCTCGTAGAAGCAGACCTGCTCACCACTGCATCCATAGAAAGGGGGGGGGGAGAGAAACAAGAATCTCTTTGATTGGATTCTAGGCCGGCCTTCATTTCGACTCCCGGACGCCATTATTGAGAATCCGTCTCCCATGGTCAGGCCCGGTCAGTACATAACGATAAACTACTCGTACATAATAATACCTGTAATGACGAGACAATACACGAATTAGCATGGGCACGGAGAATATTCTTACAGAATGGGGGGCGTATGTTTTCGTGACTGACCTCGTGGTAATAATTTGGCAGTGGGGCCCGAAAGACGGTTGTGGAAGCAACTTTCTCCTTAGACTTTCACCCCCCGGTCATCAACGGTTGCCGAATGTAGTAAAGATGGCTATTACAGCGTATAAGCACATATTTGCGGCACTCCGTCGAGGAACGAAAAAGGAGACAGACTCGACCCCGGCCAATGGCAGCACAACGGTCTATTCTAGATTTGGAAAGAGTCCATGCAGATCTTGAACCGGGTCTGCCGCGTTCTCTCGCCGAGTACGAACCACGGAACGATCAGCAAGCCGGTTGTTTTACCCTCAAGGGTGTCGAGGGGCTGTGGTATGTCATTCCGAAGAAAAGATCCATCAACTGAAGATTCTATCATCACCGCTGTTGTACTCCGTAGTACTATTATTCAGAAAGGTCAGGTTGACGATAAAAAAAGATGAAACACGCCTGGTGCTTCTTTTCGCTTCGGGATCTTTCTTGACCGGAAAGATCAATCTCACGGGAATCCTCCGGAATTGACAGAATAGTTGGTATGCTAGGATCTCAATCCGTCCACTGTGATGAGACCGTGACTGCCGTAGTGCAGTAGTGCTATTGCAGGGAATAATGATTATCATCATTGTTAAGTCGACTACAGCATGTATTTCCTCCAGCTGAGAACGGACAAGACCCTGAGAGTTCGAATATCACAATCATGATAGCCGTGAGTTTCTTTTGCTGAGCTGCTATTTTCCATGACCCCAAATATGAAGCACTCGAACCAGAAACTCGACCGAGAAATTTCGCCAGTAGGTGGATCTAAGAGGGGGTAATCCATGATTAGTCAGTGTTGCTAGTCAGGAACCAACACTTAGCTTGCGGCTCCATCCATGGTACTTTTGAACGGGCAACACGGTTCAGTAACCGTTACTTTTCTGTATTGCTTCTTTTTTCTTTCTTCCGAGTTGCAGGATGTATATTTCGTACACGGTGGCAGCGTATACGAGACCGAGAGAGCACTGACAGCGTGGGAAGATTACTGATGGCGGTCGGACGATGATCCCTTCCTAGGTCAGGTGTTCCTGCAGTAGTGTGTCTGACTAATTTATTCCTGAGGCATATTTTGATATATCGCTCCGTGTCCAAGAAAAGAACAGGTTAAACATTCCCAAACAACCACCGCCCCGTTAAAGATTCAGAAAAAGGTTATTCCACTCTGGAACAGATGTCAGAGTTAATTCCATGACTTCCTTGTTTCATCACTTGCAATTGGGCCGTGTGCGCGATCTCCCGATCGGGGCCTATCCGGACCTAGACGAAAAGACAGAGTGAACGACTCCAGCCCTGGCGATCTATGGAGAATCACCTTTCTCGAAACAATTCGAATGTACGAGGATGTATGCACCAATCTTGTTCATCTACGGCACAACCTGTTTCTAAATCGTTGCTTAAGCTTTCGGGCCGGGTCACTCAGAAACAGACGAGCTATTGCCTTTCATGGAAAATGCAGAGGTCGAGCCCAGTGAGAGGTTTCTCATATATGCAATAATGCGGATTGTTAATGTTTTGACTCATTGCCATTGTTGTATTCTTGTCGACAGGGATCCTTGATGCAGACTGACTATCAGTTTACAGAGCACAAAGTGGCCAATTTGACTCAATTTGGGCCGTGCCGTGTAGCAAAAACCTCGCTAAGATATGCGATTCAAGCTTCTATACATCTATTTATGGCAGATCTATTCCCATTCGGTTGAGATCTAGCCCGGAAGGATCCTAAGGCTGGCTGGCTAGCCGTCTTTTCTGTACAATGACCTTTGGGTGCCATCACTCTTCGATGTGCTTCGATGTGTTGCTGGTCCAAATCACGACCTGATCCAGTATGAAACAGTCTGCTTTTGCCATTTCCGTGGATGATCTCATTGCGGTTCACTGTATGCCTCTGGACGAACTGCGGAGTACACTTTTCCACTTCACTTTACTTGGGACGTCCGCCAGGAAATCCCTTGTCTACTCCGTACTCCCACCAAATCTATGCCAATGGGCTGCCGAGTCTCCCGGGGGCAACATGTCAATTTATTCAAAACCATCATTTACCAAATGCGAACCGTGGCAACACACAAACCGGAGGATGTCCGCCGGGAGATCTCCAAACTTCAGTTCACGGTGCAGTTTGCGCATTTGCCATGGCTCTGGACGCCTGCTCCGAATGCTTCCAGTCCGTTCTCGGCTACGATAGTTTGCGCTTGATTCCGAATATATTGGCACTTGCTCTCGACTCATGGGAAAACATACTAACGCTGCAGAGTGCTACGGGGCAAAGTGACCTCCCTTCCATGGTTTCCCATCCGGACGATTATTATGTCCAGAACCATCTCTCGCGAACTGCCAAGGAACCACCGGAAGCAATGGGACCTGTCGCGGTAAATCCTTTTGGGTCTAGGCCCATGCAGCTTCGCTGACTGCATTATTGCTCAAATGTTCCCTGACAGCCCGTACGAAGTGACATTTCACTAGCCCTGTATACAAAGCAGCTACAGTCTGCTAGGTGTAACTATTGGTTTAGAGTTTGCTAGCGCTCAAAGGCTATATTACATCCGACGTGCTGTCATCCCCTACCAGCAAAAACCGGATTCGGTTATCGAGCCATAAGCACCTCGAACAGAAATACAGCGTAAAAGAAAACATCAGCATCTAATCTCGCTATCCATTGCTTACTTTAACTAGTCACATGATGCACGATCTGATTAGTCGGGCCATATGTTTTCTTTTTTAGCCCAACCAATTCGACGTCTCATTTTTGCGGCACTCACCGAGTGTCCACAATTTTTTTGTGCTCTGTACTTGTACAAATAATCCCAGCCTGCAAGATTCGATAATCGAAGCATCTCGATCTTTTTCTTATTATAATATCCATACAAATTACTCTGTAGTTACACCGTAAATAACCGCTATGCAAAAGCATGCATGCAACAACATGCACCTCGTACTCGTTCCGCCAGTCCACATACGACCGGAACTATTGCCCCCAATACGGAGTACTCGAATCTAAGAAATTCAAATTCAAATCATCTAGCCAGACACGCCGAGAACTCTACTCCCATAGAAGTTCCTCCTTGTGGGCTTTCTTGGCTTCCGGGATAAAAATGCATATTTTTGCTACAAGGGCTCCGTACACTATGTTCTGGAAACCGGGCGCAATGACCCAATTTTTCTGGCCTTGTCTCAGAATAATAATAGTAGTCATGGGATGGGATGGGGCGAGCTCGAGTCATGTGTTGCCAAAGATGGTTTTGTGGAGGTAAAAGAAAAAAGAAAACAGAAGTATCTTTTTTCGGTGTGTTTGCCTGTCTGTCTTACAGCTTTGTCCAGTTGTTGCTCTGTGTAGGGCTGTCTTGGATACTTCGGAGTGTCCGGTATATCCGGTATATACTCGGCCGTTTTTTTCCTAGTATACCTGCCAGGATCAGATGTTCGGATATTGTAGAATGAGATGGCGAGCTGAGCATTGTTGTTTGGTCTCGAGGGATATACACGGTCCTACAGAGTACTCTTTGTGTATATGTCGCTTTCTCTCGGCTACTGCCATTTTTACAGATATTCTGATGTCTTTGCTGGACCTCAGGTCCGGTTACTCCTGATATAATCTTTCCCACTCGTGGCCTTGGTCTCCGCGTCGTTCCTCCAGTGCGATACTGCACCTCAAGACTGACAACCACATACTGCATCAGTCAACGATAGCTGGACGGTTAATCTGCCATGACTTGCTTGCTGCGTTGCAATACCCCTCATCCTGCCGTAGTGATGCTACGAGGTAGGCGTAATGTAATTAGCTGTTGGAGATCGTACAAGTAGTTGTCCGTCATGCTGAATATCTGGTATTCTGGATACAGCTCTACATAGTAAACTGCATCGCGGAGAGGCTTGTGTAAATTCTCCTGTAATTGAAAGTAGAGAAGGTCACTTCTGTTGAGCATCTGTAGTCCTCTTCTTTCTCTGATCTTTGATACCTGTAGATATCAATTGAGTGGCGTATTGCGCGTGGGAATCATGTGAGATTTCATCGCTTTACAGCTCTTTAGCTGAGATGAAAAGGAAATTCTAATATAAATACTTCTGAGATTAACATGCGATGTCTGTAGCCATTGCCTTCTTCTGAATCAATGTAGTATCATGGCGGTTTTGACGCTGTGTTGTGCATAGTGGTATGTGTAGTCCGAATATATATCGGGACACGGAGGACAGCTCTGGACATCATAATAATAACAATGCTACTTGTAAAATGAACAAACACAAGTCTATAGTGGGATAGCACTGAAGAATTTTGTCAAAATATATTTCAGGCAGTGACACAATCCATCCATCCATCCCATCTACTCCGTATGCTTTCCAACTACGAAAGGTGAGGTACGAGCACAGTATCGAAGCACAACATTTGCACTGCGAATGTGCACTGTATGCAGCTGTGTATACCGCAGGAAATAAGCCAAAGGACGGCCAAATGGCCAATGGCCAACGAAGAATGCAACCATATGCATCAAGATGCTCTCATACTGCGTCACATTCGTTTGTTGTGACCACCGTCACCATAGGCAACAGACCACACGTGACCACCACCCAGCCTCCCGCGAAACCAAACGTCGCTCCAGAAGTCTATCAAACAACCAAACCACCGATTCGCGACGACAACCCCGGCTTCGCAAGGGCCATTGCCTGGGGTAAATTACACGAGGCCTTACATCTTACACCGACCATTTATGTAGCACTTCTTTCACGACATTCGCGTTAGCAATGGCCTCTCCCAACTCCCTTTCGACCGCATACAACAGCGGCCTTCATCGCCAACTCTCTACCCGACAATTATCCCGTGCCACGGGTTCTCGATCCAGTTCCCGACGCACCTCCTCAGCAATCCAGAATTCTTCGTCCCGAGACCACGGGATATCTATTCCCAGGCAATATTCTGCCGGCGACAGCTCCGATGATGAGGTTCCGGAGCCGAAATTCAGTGCCTCTGTTAAGGCACTTCTTGACGAAGACGGCCTGGGTTCTTCGCCCCGTAACCGCATCGGTGGGAGGGAACAGACTCCAGAAGAAGTCCGTGCATCAACAGCAGCCACAAGTCAAGAGAGACAAGGGAGACGACGCTCGTCGCGTTCGCCACGTCTCGAATCGCCGCAAGACCGATCGGCCGGTAGCCCCGCCCCGCGCGTTGTTCGCATAGGATCAGCTATGTCCTCTCGATCTAGGAGGGAAGGGTCTGTTCTGTCGAGCAGTGAGCAACAAGACTCCGATGCGAGGAACGACTTCATTACACCCGCGCCCAGACAACGCAGTGTGCGCATCGCCAGTCATACACGGTCACCAGCATCGATATCCCCGTCGCAAAGGCGATCTGCGGAGCGAAGCTTCAGTGACGAGCATGGAAGTGCAGAGCGCTTGGAGGAAGAGCGGAAGATGCGTTACGATGATGATTACATGCCGCGCGCTGGTACGTCGTCTGTGCTCCGGTCGCGTGGCGGGGAAGACCCCGGGGCCAGTTCTCTGCGTGTCAAGAGAGTCGGAAGACTAACGGGCGCCTTTTTGAACGGACCCGCAAGGCGAGGTGTACTGCGGCGCCAGAGTGAAGAGAACGACGAAGGCCCGAGTTACCTATCTCCAGAAGATGATCAGCGAGAAAACCACGAATCAGTACACGACAACAATGCTGAATACCGCTACAAAGACACAAGGTCATTACCTAGAGTAACGTGGGCAGAACCGAGTTCGCGTGAAGATGGCCGACATCGTTCTCTTGAGCCTGCAAATGCATCAGACGATGCACCTTACGAACGAATGTCTTCGCCTAAGTCTTATGGGTCACATTCAAAATCTACACCTGGATCGTCATCTGAGTATTCGTCCAAGTCTTCGGGCGCCAGAGAACAGCCAGTATTCAAAATCCCTCCATTACCTTCAATACCCGCAACACAGGATCAAGAAAATGAGCCGCCACCGACCTTCAGACGAACCAGACCACAGGGGTCTAATATGTTGGATAAACCGGAGAAGATGTCTGTTCCTTATGGAGAAGATAAGAAAGAGAACGGCGAAACGCCAGCTAGTAGTTCGCATAGGAAGATCCTTGCAGCTCGCAGCAACAACACGCCGCATCGACCAGCTCCGCCGCCTCCTAAGATGTCGGTTCTTGACACCGCAACAGGCAGTGGAGGAGCAGCGGCAGCAGCATCACAGTCTCGCAGGAAGCGAAACCAAGTTTCAATCAACCACAAGGCGTTCACACGACTCGATTGCATTGGTCGTGGTGGAAGCTCGCGGGTGTATCGCGTTATGGCGGAGAACTATAAGATCTTTGCTCTCAAGCGAGTCAACCTGGAAGATGTTGATCCATTGACTCTGGCTGGATACAAGGGTGAAATCGATTTGCTCAAGAAATTGGAGAACTTGGACAGAGTTGTTCGTCTTTTTGACTGGGAGCTTAACTCGGACAAGCATACCCTCAGTGTTCTGATGGAAATCGGAGAATCTGATTTGGAAAAGATTCTCGCATACCGTTTGAACGCCGACGACGCTACTTTGGATATCAACTTCACTCGCTACTATTGGAAAGAAATGCTCGAGTGTGTTCGCGCAGTCCACGAACACAACGTCGTCCATTCCGATCTCAAACCCGCCAACTTCCTCCTAGTCCAAGGCAGACTCAAATTGATCGATTTTGGTATCGCCAACGCCATCCAGGACAACACCGTCAACGTGCACCGCGAGCAACAAGTCGGAACACCCAACTACATGTCCCCAGAAGCCCTGGTCGACTCAAACGCCTCGCTAGGCTTGCCCTCCAGCGTCGGCAAAATGATGAAACTAGGCAAACCCAGCGACGTCTGGAGTTTAGGCTGCATCCTCTACAAAATGGTCTATGGCCACCCGCCCTTCGCCAAAATCGCCAAGTACTACGAACGTATCATGGCAATCCCTAACCCTCGAGTCCAAATCGAATTCCCCGAATTCGGAGTCGGAGGCGTCCCTGTCCCTCCCGGTCTCATCCGCACATTAAAACGGTGTCTACAGCGTGACCAGACCCTCCGGCCAACAGTCGACGAGCTCCTCGGTCAGCGGGACCCGTTCTTATACCCCGATGCGCAGATGGACGGTGCTGTTCCGATTAGCCAGGACATGCTTGGTCGGATTTTGGTCAACGTCGTGAATCACTGCCGGGTGCGTGGTATTCCCAAGGAAGAGGAATTGGCTACGTGGCCCGCTGGGTTCTTCGCGAAGATCAAAGCTGCCCTGGAAGAGGAAGCTGGTCGGTGATTTTACCGATTACCTTCCCTTCCCTTCTATTCTATTCGTTCCCAAAATCCTTCTTTCACCTCTTTCTCCTTTGTATAATATCTTGATATCCTGAATGATCCGACGAATGGGTTGGCGTTCAAGTCCGGTCTGGTCTTTTTCTTTTCTTCTTTTCTGTTTGATACTCTGTCCGTGTCAGATATTTTCTTTTCTTGGGTTTATATTTTTGGAGCTTTAGGGCTTTTGTTTTTCATTTCTTTTTGAGAGCGATTCAGCGCTGTGCTGCATGTACGATTGACTGATTGATTAACTTGGTTGCATTGGGATTGATTCCTGCATGGGTTTTGGTGTTTGAGTTGGGAAATATCGATTTAATTGTTCATTACACAGGATAGTTTTTGGTTTCGTAAGGACTGAGTATGATGTACTACGGTATAGCTCAAAAGGCGAGGCACATGTTAGTGGACGGAAGTTCGCGAAGCAGACCAAAACGTGCAGAGAATGCAGTCAATTGAAAATCCGTACCTCTATCTAAAGCGTAGCACCCGAGTCGACTTTTTAGATGACGTATATGAACAACGTGAGATAACACTTGAGCGCCTTAACACCATCCAAAATATCAATTATAAACACGAGATAGACAAAAACAAAAGAGGGGCCAATGGTATCGAAGTCAAGATGTAATGGCAGGGTAGACGGTTTTAGTAGTTATGCCGAAACAAGCGATTAAACGAGGAGGACACTGGTAGAGATGAATGTTAGTATACGTTGATACTAACGGAATAGAGTGTTGGTACGTACGCATTGACACAGCCGTCGTTCTCAGGGTTGTTGGTAACCTGGGCCCATTTACCCCAGACAACCTTGCCGTTGGTGGTGACCATACCCAACTCGGAGACATTGACTTCAAGGATCGTTCCCTTGGTCAAGACACCGAGCTGAGTGTACAAGGGGTTCTGGGGGTTCTTCTTGACGGAGAGGATGGGCAATTGCACGGTGACGGCCATTTCGGGGCTAGAAAGTCAGCACAAATGCGAAAAGAGCATGAATGAGTGAGAGAACATACTGAGTAACGTTGGCCTTCTTGTAACGCAAACCCATAGGCCGAATAAACCGCTCATACTTGACCGGTCTCCGAGTGAAATCACCACCCACAAAAGTAGGCTTGGTAATCATCCTCTTCCACGACTTCTTAGCCGTCTTCTTACCCGTATTCACAACCTTGAACATCTCCTCCTCACTAATACCCTTAACCTTGGGCAACGGCACCGCAAACTTCGCCGCCTTTTCATTCCGCTTATCCTTAATAGCACTCGACAAGGCCTTCGCATTCGTAGCCTGCGAACGGTCCAACAAATATTGCGGCAAGGGCGTCTTGGAGGGCTCTTCGGGGGCAGAGGACTTGACGTTCTTCTCCTCCTGCGCCTTGATGCGTTTCTTCATCTGGATCTTCTCGGCATGGCGCTTCTGCTGGTAGAGCTTGGCTCTTAGGCCGCGCAGGTTCTGGGCATCTTTGGATTGTTGGTGGTGTTCACGGGCTTGGCGCTTGCGGGATCGTTCCTCGTGGTCGAGGCGCTTGCCGTGCTGCTTTTGCCAGCGCTCGATATACCTGTTTTTTTGTCAGTTGCTGTGGTTGCTATGGATGTGGTGGTTGGGGGCGAGGAGACGAACTCGTTCTGAGGCTGTAGTTTGAGATTCGTTAGCTATAGTTCACAATGATATAGGGGAGCATAGAATATATACGTACCATGTTGGTTGTAGATGTTGATGGCTTGTAGTGGTTTTCGCCTCGTGGTTGAGAGTAGAGAAAAAAGTCGTTGCGGCGGCAGGTCTTCTTGGCAGCGATAAATCACGTGGTCTTATCGGCTGCAATCTTCGACTACACACAAAATGAATTTAGATCAATAGAAAAATCCAAATAAAAGATGAGAAGCAAGAAATCAATGATATTAGAAAGAGATTGATGCTAGAGCTACATAGTCATTACAATATGTAAAGAATTGGCTACAAATTGTAGTCACGTGACTACGGCCACCCACGCGGCCACTTGCGCGCTCTGGAATTTCTCCAGGTGCCCGCCGCGGCTTCAACTTTTCGCACCGCATTCTGCAACCAAACCCTAACATCCGGGGCCTTCTCAAGAACCCCAATTGAAACCACCCAGACACAAGGACAACAAGTGCAGCACTTCACCATGTTCGCCCGCTCCGTCCTCCGCAAGGCCCTGGCCCTGCCATTCGAGCAGACCCCATCATCAACCACACTCTTCCGGGCCACTCTATCCACAACAACATCGACATCGACGCAGTCCTCGAACCCAGAATCCCCATTGAGCGCATCGCCCCGTGCAGAATTCAACGACCCCACGCAACAACAGCACCAACCCCCCGTCACACCCTCCGCCGCCATCAGATCCGCCTCGACACCCTACACAACCCCCCAAGCATCCAGCCACATCCCCATCCACAAACAACCACTCCCCCCGACCTTCGAATCGCCCCTGAAAGTCACAAGCTCCCTCCTCGAGCTCCTCCCGCACCTCGTCGCGCAACGATCGCACTATATCACCGCGCACGTCCATGCGAAGCCCTACCTCGTGACAGCGGGCGACCACCTCCGTCTGCCCTTCCTGATGGCCAATGTGCAGCCCGGCGATGTTATCAGACTGAACCGGGCATCTGTGATTGGTTCGAGAGACTTTACGCTGAAGGGGAAGCCGTATATTGACGAGCGGATGTTTGAGTGTCGGGCACGGGTTGTGGCTGTTGATTCGGAACCGATGCGGTACAAGGAGAAGACGAAGAGGAGGCAGAGGCATGTGCGGACGATTAAGAGCAAGGAGCGGTATACGATGCTAAGGATTATGGATGTTAAGGTTAAGACGGAGGAGGAGTTGGTGAAGGAGGGGGCTGTTGTTGTTGAGGGCCAGGATCAGGCGACGTTGGAGGTTAAGTCGTGATTTGTGAGTTTCACAGATATTTACGGATATGTTGAAAAGGAAAATGATTTTTTAGGAAAAGTCACGTTCAATGATGGGCTACTGTCCTCCTGTTCTTGGGGCTGGGCATGCTATGTACAGATAGATTGATTGCGCATGTATCTATAATGGATTTTCTGTTTACTCTTATTCAAGTTCCAGTGCCAAGTGGAATTCATGCATTTCATAACTATCACCATCACCATCTAGCTTGCTATGCACGCTACATAAAAACATCATTCATCATAACCAATTTAACCCAAAATATCCTGCGCAATCTTCTCCGCCAACGCGTAAACCGTCGACTGCGGATGCCCCGGCGGCAACAACGGAAAACTACTCGCATCAACAACCCTCACCCCCTGCACCCCATACACACGTGCAGAGCTATCCACAACCGCCATCTCATCCCCCCTCTTCCCCATCTTACACGTACAAGCCGCATGAAACACAGGCCTCGTACTCTCCTTAACAAACTCCCTTATCTGCGCATCGCTCGTCACGTTAACACCCGGGTAGTACTCGACTGGATCCGCAACGCCCATTTTCGATAGAATGGACCAGATCTCCCGCGTGCGTTTGAATGATTGCACGGCTAGATCCATGTCTGCCGGGTGGGAGAGCCAGTTCGGGTCGATGAGCGGTGGCGTTGTCATCTCGGAGCCGGAGAGGGAGATAGACCCGCGGGAGAGAGGCGCGACGAGGGCGATGTTCAGGGTTGCGTAGTTGTGGCCATCGAGAGGGTCAACTGGCTGTTTGACTTGGTTGTCGCCGTTGAAGGCGGCGACGGGGAGGTATTCGAGTTCGGGCCAGTCTGGTGGGAAGCTTGCTAGGGCAGTGGTGGATGAGTTGGAGAGATTGGAGCGGTAGGGGTCTGGGAGCTTTTCCCAGCCGTAGTAGCCCGGTCCGAAGATGGAGAGGGGACCTGTGGCGTGTTGGAGGAATTTGTTTGCATTTTCAGCGGCGAGGGTCTTGTTGTTTGCTGAGGCGGAGTTTGTGAGAATGTTAACGCGGTGTGCGGTGCCAAAGACCGGGTGATCGAGCATGTTCTGGCCGACGCCCGGGAGGTTAGAGAGGCAAGGGATTTCGAACTTGGAGAGGTGGTCGCAGGGCCCGATTCCGGAGACCATGAGGAGTTGGGGGGATTGCAGGGCGCCAGCAGAGAGGATGACTTCGTTGCGAGCGTTGAGGGTGAAGTTGATAGGTGCTGTGCCAAATGTGCCTCCTGTTGCGACTTGGACTCCTGTTGCGGTTTTGGTCGAGTCGAAGAGGATCTTCTGGGTTAGGGTGTTTTTGTACACTACCAGGTTGGAGCCGTTGTTGAGGGATTTCTTGAGGAAGCTGGATTCAGAGGTCGAGCGGTGCGCGTTTTTGGGGTTGATGGTAAATGTTGCATACGCGGAGCCTAGCAGTTTACCGCTGTTGAGGCCATTGATTTGGCCCATGCCCACTGCGATGAATGCCTTGCGGACCCAGGTACCAAACGCGTCGACGGCATTGCTGAACGAGACTTCCAGCGGACCTCCAGAGGAACTAAACGCATCTGCCGTTTGATTGTTCGTGGAATTGGTGTAGAGCTCTTGATTCGGAGGCGTATAATGGCAAGACTTCTTGTAGTATGGTAGTAGATTGCCGAACGTATAGCTCTGGTCATTCACCTCATCCGCCCACCGCTGCATACTGTCGACCGTAGGCCGATGGTAAAGCATGAAATTCCTAGTAGAACATCCTCCCAACGTCTTCCCACGCGCATAGTGCAGCTTCCGGCCACCCAAAGCTTGCTGCGATTCCGTACTGAAACCCCAGTCGATAAGCGGGTTGTACGCGTTGGGCTTGGATCCGGTAAACTGCGACGAATATCCCGGGACGACGGAGTAATTGCCGTTATCGATTTCGTAGAAACCACCGGCCTCGACGACCGCGACACTGATAGATTTGTTCTCTGCGAGTCGGCTGGCGATTGTTAAACCAGCGTTTCCACCGCCGACCACGACATAGTCAAAGGTCGCATTCGTTCCGGGGATTCCAAATGAGTTTCCGAGGATGTTTCCCGTCGCTCCGTAGTTCCAGAGATTAAGGTCCTCTTGCGCTGATGCAATGGCCAAAAGGCCTAGGAGGGTGAATTGGGAGAGGCGCATTGCGCGATCACCTCAATGGAGAGTAAAGCAGTCGACTATTGATTGCAATTGACCGAATTCAAACTAGTCAAGGGAAATTGGTCATTTTATGGTCGCGTCACTGTCATGGGAAAAGCGTTAGCCGCAGGAGAAAAGAAATTGTGGAGAAGCACAGTCCAGGGACTCAACAGTGCTCCGTCTATGGCCTTTAATACGGAGTACTACGGGCAAGCTAAGCATTCCGATCATTGCCAGGAACAGGGGAATTGCTCGATACGGTGGAACTGCTGCTAGGGAGACTGGTGCCCGGTGCCTTTCCGAACTGTCATTTCGCGCACGGAATCGCGGTTGACTGCGGCATGGTGCTCTGTACATTGAGTAGAGCGATAGTTTTGAATCCATGGGGCTTTACTAGTTAGTTATGTAACGAAGAAGGCCTTGGACAGACTGTACAGACTGTACGTTGAATTAAGGCAGAATTACCGGAAACGGATTAGCGCGTATTTGCACGTGGTCTACCATGTTTGTTCTTATTGTTATCTCAAGCTCATTGACAAATGTACCTGCATATAGCATCCTCGAGGACATTTGAGTCGTCACGCAGGGCCAACTTCTCGAGTGCTACTACGATGAGCAGAGTCTAAAGATCCCGATCCAGCAACAAATCTATGCTGGAACAAAACAAAAAAAAAAAAAAAAGACAACCAAGGCATTGCATTATGAATTAACTACTTGTAATCTATCTACAAAACCTCTCCAGCCTGCCTCCTAATATACCTCGCAACCTCATCCATAACTTCTGGTACCAACCAAGGCGTATGAGCCGTCTTAATCATCTCCGTCTCAAACACCGCTCCCTTCTGCCTCGCCTTCTCAACCATAGCCTCCTGGGCAAACAGTGAAATCGCGCGATCATCTTCGCACAGGAGGTACGAATTGGGGATCTCCAGGTAGGCGGCACTGGTGGCAGGTGAGGTTTTGGCAGCCCAGGAATGCGGACGGAGGGTCTTGGCCCATTCATGACCGTCGGGGACGTCGTGGAAAAAGAGGGTGAATGGGTCGCTGGCGGTTACGGTGCCGTTTTCGACCTGGATTTGAATTAATTTATGAGCCACACATACACAGAGTGGCAGGTGGGTGTTGGTACTCACATCCCGTACAAACCACTCCGCCGGCCCCCCAAGCGCATCCACCAAATTCTCCCCAATTTCTGGTATAAACGCCGCGATAAACACCAGCCTCACAACGCCTCCCTCCTTCCCTTCCTTCTCCCGTGCGTCCTTGCTCAATCCATCCAATGCGCTGTTCACTGGTAACCCGGCCCAGCTGTGCAAAACAATAACAACATCCCGACCCGCATCTGCCTCGCGCTCGACGAGTGTGCGGACAGCGCTAATGTCTAACCGGAGATCGGTCACGGTGGTTGCTTGCTGGATGGCGGGGAAGGCGATTGTGTGGCAGGTGTAATCGGGGAGTTTGGCGATTAGGGGGTCGAAGGCTGTTGGGGGGTACCAGGCGCCAGGGGCGAATATTAGGGTGGGTTTTGACATTGCGAGTGGTCAATTGGAAGGTCTAAGTAAGTGATTTGTTGTGATATCTCTTAAGCAAGGGATTAGTGATGGCTGTTATATGTGTCTACAGCCCCGTATCATACCCCGCACTAACCTTATTGTAGTTATGGAGTAGAGATAGGGCGGAAATACCCCTAGTACGGAGTATACTTGATATCGGAAACAGAATCGATCGGAAGAGGATCGCATTGGCCCGGTGTTCGCACAGGGCATTGTTAAATCTATATTTCGGATCCTTCAGCACTGACATCCGAAATGCAAAAACACATCTACCCAACCATCATAAATCATTAACCGCAATAGTTCTATAACACCCAAACCCATGTCCTCTATAATAACGCCATATATCCCAATAATCCCAGTAAACCGCCCTTTAAACATAACTCATGCACACTGTTGCGCCTCCTCCCCCAACCCACTCGACCCAGCCCGACTCCTCCCCTCCGTCGCAACCGACGGTATCGACGGCGCATACCCATACTTATCAACCCCCACCCCCATACCCCATCCTCGTCTGCGGCATTGATGAAGCCCTCGACCTCGATCCATCCGTAGCAGCAGTAGTAGCAGTAGGCAACCTCGCAAAACAAACCGTACTCCCATCAGCCTCAGCCTGCGACGATCCCAATTGCGACAAGCGTATAGGCAAAGAATACGAAAGCGTGCGCGATCTAGACCCGCTTTCTTTATCTGTAGAATGGCGCGAGGCGTCGTATAGTTGGCGGAACATGGGGCGGAGAGTTGGGAGACAGGCGCAGATTATGCCGACGGATTGCTCGATGGAGGACCATGTTGCTGTGTCGATTGTGCTGTACATGGGGTCATTGGCGTCGGAGAAGTCGAAGGCTATTATGCGGAGGATGGAGACGATGCAGACGCTGGGCTTGTTAGATTGGGTTGGCATTGGTTGGGGAGAGGAGGACTTACAATCCACCGAGGAGGAATATCCCCGTTAGTATTAACTTTTGTCGAAGACATGTCTTTACACGCCATGTCATTGGGAACGGTAAGCACAGAATCAACACATCCAGAAGCATGTTGACGATGCCGTTCCATCGGTAAAAGTTCACTTCGTCGATGCATGACCCTTCTTGGTGTCTATACCAATAGTACGAGACAGGCGAGCAACCGGCAATGGTGACGATAACGCAAGCGACGAAGTATGCCGTGACTAGGAACGCTGAGATTCCTAGGGCCCAGCGAAATCCCGAAACGACGCCGAAAATTCGGTGGTAGAGAAGCAGCAGAGAAGCTTTGATGAAGACGGCATTGCAGAAGTATGTTATTTGTACCGCGATGAAGCTCTATAGCAGTTAGCTTGCGTTCTCATAGTATAAGGTCAGGTAAATCCGTACTATTTGAAAGTTTATGACTTTTTCGGACGCTACGTATTGAGTATGTCGGCCATAGTCATACATCAGAACTTGTGCCCATCGTGTAGCGGCCATTCCCCAATTGATCACCTAGAACCAGTCAGCGAACCAGTTTCCTCGAGAAAATGCCAAAGAAAACGCACAAGAGCAACCGCAATAGTATAATCATCCCACCAAAGCCCAACCCGCGAAACAGTCCGCGCGATAAACCGCAACGCAGTAATAACAGTAGCCGGCACCACTGTAACAATAGTCCCAATCCATATGCGATAGGCGATATCATCGCCCGGATCCTCATCCATGCGGTTTAATGGTAGCATGGCTGCCAGGCATTGCAAGAGAGATACATCCTCGATGATATCAAGGAGCGAGAAAGAGAGAGAGAAAGCGAGATTGCAAATTTTTCCGAGGCCAGGCAATAGTCAGGAAATGACCCAAGGTGCGGTGCCAATAGAAGAGGGATTATTGCAATGATTTTCACAGCACGGACTTTGCTAGCAGTTACCGTCGGCGTGGTTATTGGTAGTGCTGTTCCCAAGCTTCCGGAGACGGACCCGTCAGGGAAAGTTTACGATATTAAACCGCGCGAATATTTTGTCTGCGCGGAATGGGATTCTGTATATTATCGAATATTCCGGCGTGGCCATGTCCTCTACGGAACATGTCACTGAATCCGAACAGGGGTGACCCCGTACAGAAGGACTCTAAGATCGTACCAACACGGAGTATTCTTAGCAATAGCACAATAGCCAGTGGGCCGTGTAAACTAATGATATCATGAATCATGAACACCTGGAGGACGGAACCGCGGCACTGGTGTACACTCTATTCGATTATTGATCGGAATATTATTCGCTTCTTGTCGCATGCTCATACTATCGAGAAAGGTAAGTCCGTGTCGAGATCATCAGGGCGATGGCAATTATTATCTGCATACCGGGAGATTTGAATCATCGTGGATAGTCACCCAAGAGGGTTATGATGGGCATTTTCTCCACTGCAAGACTCGGTGATTGAGGATAATGCTCGCAAAGACCGAAGAAACCAAGCTTATACATTCATTATCCGATCGTATGCATGTGCATAATAACATAACTCACAAGCGAGCCGCCCACCCAACGCGAAACGCGTCAATTAATTAGATCTTAATTCTTTAACCACCCACTATGCCACCAATTCGCTCTCAACGCTCTCAAAAATTAATAGAGCAAGAGGGTAGGATCTTACTAGCTATTCAGGCTATGAAAAAGCAAGAAATAATCTCTATTCATGAAGCAGCACGCCGATTTGACGTACCTCGTACGACCCTCCCAAGATCGACTACACGGCCACCAAAACCGAGGCGAATCGCGTGCCAATAATCATAAACTGACTGAAACTGAAGAGCAATCGCTTCTAAAATGGATAATCTCTATGGATTCTCGCGGAGGAGCACCACGGCCTACTACTGTATGAGAAATGGCTAATCTATTGCTTGCAGCGCGTGGATCTATCCCAGTTCAAACAGTCGGCCAGAATTGGGTCACAATTTTCGTGAAAAGGCATTCTGAGCTTTCAACCCAATTCTCAAGGCGCTATAATTACGAGCGCGCAAAGTGTGAAGACCCAAAAATCATCCATGAATGGTTTGATTGTGTGCAACATACAATACTTCAATATGGCAATTGACCCTGATGATATCTACAACTTTGATGAGACTGGCTTTGCAATGGGCTTAACTGCTACTGCAAAAGTAGTTACAAGATCTGAATACTATGGTCGGTGATCCCTTTTACAACTGGGAAATCGTGAATGGGTCACTGCAATTGAAGCAATCAGTGCATCAGGGTGGGCCTTACCTCCATGTATTATTTTTAAAAGGCAAGGTTTTTATTGAGTCTTGGTTTGATGATTTACCACATGATTGGTGGCTTGAAATAAGCCCAAATGGAAATGAAGGACATAAGAGAAATGCATGTCCAGTTAGACCTAATTAGCTAGTTTTCTTAATTCAATGGCGTTTTGGTTGGAATAAATGCATTTAAATACTATATATGGGAAGTGGGTGGCCCACTCGCTTGGGAATAAACAGCATCACGGAAAGCAATGATGGGAGTACGCAGAATTCCCTATCTTGGGAGAATAACTGGAATAATCAACATACCGATTTTTCGGCCACCTCTACTGCTTCGTCGGCGAAGTGAGAACGGTTCCCTATGTCATTTCGACTTTCTTGACAGTTGACATTTTTCTGATCAACAATCACATTAAACAAACAATAGGAGAACAAGAATAGACAATGATCACTGTAAGTCTCATCAAAGCCTCGTTGTCTTTGGTTCGGTGCTCACTCTTTCACGCTATTAAAGGCAGCAACCCTAGCCACCTTTCCATCTCCCGCACTTCTAGCCAGCTTTTATCTCCATCTGACCCAACATGATCCTTCTTTTTCTTCTGAGGATTCCCAACATCACTTTTCAATTTGACTTCGGGATGTTAGTGTCAAGCTTCTCACCCTCGTGGGGGCTACGCAGATGCTATCCGCTTTGATGCCCGTTAGTCAACGCCGAGGGGGATGGGGCAGATGCTAGGTGCACGGGACAGGAACAGCGATAGCGATGAGGCGGTGCGAATCAAGGGCCAATTGAATAAATTGAGGGAAGCGGTTATGAATGTTGTCAAGTTTGTGGGGGATGACTTCGTTCACAGGGCAAAACTGGAGAGCTGGGCTACCGTTGAGAGTATACTTGGTGAGTACAAGAGCTGGGGGGACTATGAGTAGATTAGATTAGTTGTTGATGGTTTTAAAAAAGTGACTATAGACCTGAATACAAAGTATACAAAACCATCAATTACTTCGATGACTATGGTGGATATGGCCATCAGGTAAGAACCTTTTTTTTTTCTCACCGAGTGGTACACTCAGATGCAAATAAACCCTAACACACTAAACACTAGTACTGATCAGGAAAGACCCAGGAACAACGATATTTCCACTATTACCATGTATATCAGACGTTATTATCTCCGCCTCCGCCTTATGAGGTTATAAATATACTCGCGCGACTGAGCATGTGCACAGGCAGCCTTGCAGTAACACAGTTGATTATCCCTCTTCTCTTCCCCGGCCTTAAGCAGTCGTCGTCCCTGAACATTGTCCGTCTGGTTGTCTTTGTTTAATTGCTCGGTTTGTCCAGCCGGGATAGGACTGTAGTATCTTGGGCCCATCTTATCTTTTTCCGAACCCATCTATTGGTCTAGACAATTTGCCAAGACAGCTAATCCATGGAAATAGAATGAATGTTAAATATCCTCCCTGACCACAAGCGTACTTGTTTTTAGACTAGTTCTTAGCACCCTAGGCATTAAGTGCCTGTTTACCCTTCTTTCCCCTGGCCATATGCCTGACTTTTACCTACGGTCTTCTGATTCTATACATTATGTTGTCGCTTCCTATTTTCCCCTTCCCACTCAAAGACCTTGTCGAAATGTACCACTACTTCTATCTAGTTTCGTTTTATGAGGCTTTCTAAGATGGTCTCCGCTCCGTTAAAGTTCCTCTCATAAGTATCCTAATCAGCATGTTACTTGTTCTGTGGTGTACTGGACTGTATTATATTAGAGGAGTAAGTTGTGACGGCCCAACGCTGCATCAACAGCCGATATAGATAAGCGACACCAACACGTCAAACAGGCCGTACAAGCAATCAAGGCAAACACGGGCATTAGCCCTGTCGCACAATGACCACGAAACCCCTTCATCATCTAGATAGATTTCCTTTTTCTTTCTTCCTCCCCCCAGATTCGATATTCTCGTTGATGGCTACAATAGTTTAGATAGGAATTCAGTTCGTTAACGTCTACTATTCCGAGCCCGTGACATAAGTGAGCCTGCGACCTAGTGTAGTGTACAAAAGAAGATTATCCTGGGGCCTGTATTAGTTACACAGTGCTTATGTGATATCTCACCATCCAATAGAAGCATACGACGATCCCCTATATCTGATGTTTGAGTCGCCTCCATGTACAAGTCAGGCTCTCCTGCAAGTCTCAGGCTTTTGTATGACCCCGCATCTATTTATCTGCATGAAAGGAGGGGAAATGGGCAATTGACGAATCCTTATTGTCAATCTCATATATCTCAGGCGAGCATATACCGGTTGGAGATAGAAAGTGTTGTGCTCGGAAGGTATACTATTCAATAGATACAAGCGTGTTCTATTATTTATCTATCACTAGCGTAAGCTTTACCTTACAAGACAAGTCCATTTGGAATCCATTTGCAGTGACCTGTCTGGACTAACCAGGTTCTAGGTGCAATTGAGCACCTAACAATACAGCCACTGCAGGTAGTTCGAAGAAGGTGCTCTCCTTGAAGCAATGGACGACTGGTGATGGTGACCATGGCGCGAACTACTTCGGATCCAGCGGATACGAAGGGGCGTCGTCGTGAGCAAAACAAGCTTGCACAGCGCAGATTTCGATGTCAGTGCAACTCAAATACCCCAGAAAACAATCATATCTTGATCCTGCATTAGAAAACTGACTGTTCTGCTGCCACAACCAGGGAGAAATAATCAACGGAAGGCCGCAGAGTTACTGGCCCATCCCACTCCCAGCCCAAGCTCGAATTCGAATTCGGGTCAAGAGCCGCGCACGGAAGATGCAACACTTTCTGACACTCCCGCTATGTTCACCACGAGTACCACTGTCCCGGCTTATAACCTTCAAAGCCCACGAGTGACTGCACCGGATTTGTTTGATGATTTTGATCTCAGTGGGATAAACAATATTTTCATGCCGGAGTTTGAATCAATGCACCCACCCGATATTTTGCAACCTTTACCAGTACCGGCCACATCTGAGCCTGAAACGCACATCTCTAGGCCATACATGAGCAGAGAACTATCCATTGTCCCGGGAAATAATAGTCGTAATGGATCAGAGACTTGTGACTATGTTGAAAATGACCTGGGCAGACCTTGGATCAGTCCACTTCACAGGGCAATACAAAGCGGCCACAGTAAGATTGTTCAGCTTCTGCTCGAGCATAAAGCCAACTGCAATGAAAAGGAAAGAGGTGGTCTGACACCGTTAATCCACGCTATAATTGGGGGGTACGAGGATGTTGTGGATTCGCTGCTGTCGCACGGTGCTAGCATTGAACTCGTTGATGATGAGCATCGATCGGCGCTCCATTGGGCCGTGATAAATCGCCGGGAGCGCTTGTTGAAGAGACTTTTGAAGCACTGTGCAGGAGACAGTACTTTGATCAATGGATGCACGAAAGAGGGTAGGACTCCATTGCTCATTGCTATCGATACTGGCTTTGAAGCAGCGGTAGAGGTACTGTTGGAATCAGGTGCGGATGTGCACTTCAGAGGTAAGGGTCATGGTATTGTCCAACAGAGTTGATATACTACAGTTAGCCTAGTGACCTCCGGCTGCCCGAAACATATTGTGTACAGGAACAATGTCAAACTTTGGCAGAGAAATCTGTTGGTCAAGTATCTGATACGTAGCTTAGAGTGAGACCTCTAAAGTATTGACTTCAGATATCACTTGTTAGCATATTCGCACAATGCTCTCAAGTTGCCGTGATACAGGGGGTGGCCATTGGGAACTTATCTTGTGGCAAAGCTTGGGATAATTCTACCTGTATTTATGAAGAAATTGTAATGGAAAAATATTTACCAAACGACTTTTGACCACTACCTTATTAGCATCTTTCCACCCAGGTCTCTAAGACGATCTTCTAGGCTACCAATTCAGGGAGCTAATTCACCATGAAAGCTGACAATATGTCCAGAGACTCATGTGTCGAAGTCCTTGGTACCCCTTTACTCCATCTGTTCAACATGCGTGAAGGTCGCTGGGTCAAAGTCTTCAATGACTTCCTGTAACACACCATCTCCAATCAATGCGATAGCATCCCTCCCTATTTTTATGTGCTCCTCCAAAGCGCCAAGTCTGTGGGTAACAATGATGATAGTGTGGCCCATTTTGGTGAACTCATCGTCAACAATACGGTGAATAGTGGACTCCGTAGCCGTATCGAGAGACGATGTGACTTCGTCGAAGACAATCACGGGCTTCACCCCAGAACGCCGCAGCAGACTGGCTCTGACAAGTGCTCGACAAAGAGCGAACAGTTGACATTGTCCCACCGAGAGCTCCTGGAATGATGTAATTTTTCGGTCAAGGACTGGGTGTTCACCAAACCCTGGGAGATTGATGACAGTGGCTGACTCTTCTTCCCCAACGTTCGTATCGCCCTCGAAGAAATGTGACCACAGTCCCGCTTTCGTTAATGCGACGATGAGAGTGTCGTCTGATTCTGAGGCATCCGGGTCTAAGTTGAAGCGCACGGTCTCGTTGGGCAGAAGTAGAGGATCCTGCGAAACTGCGATGAAGCACCGTTGTCGTATCAAATCTAGTCGCACATGCTTGATATCGACACCATCCACCTCAATCTTGCCGGATCGCAGTTCCAACAGCCGTAAGAGCGTTAGGAGTAACGTGCTCTTACCACTAATATGTAGGGTTAGCCTGCAAAAACAATAATGTGTGCCATGGTGTTATTGACTCACCTGCCTGTACGCCCACAGACGACGAGTTTTTGACCTGCGGTAATATCCAAGCTCAAATTTCGGATAGCTAAAGATTCGGATGTAGGACTTGCGCTTGTCAGCTTTCAGTAGCGAGAGCACTTTGCACCGAGAACGTACTGGTAGGATGCACTGATGTTCTTCAATTCAATATTTCCCCTGGAAGGCCAGGTACTCGGGGGATCAAAGCTCCAGACCTTTCCACCCTCGAGTGGAGTCAAATCCTCGAGCGTCTTCAACCGAGCAATGGCACCGAGAGAGGTCTCCAGTGTGGCCCAACTTTCCACCAGCTTGAGCAGCGTCGTGTTGGCTACGAGCATAATGTTCAGTGCTATTCCCACTTGTGCGCCACTGACATGCCCTCGAAGTGCCACAGCCATGGCAACGACAATGGTTGCCACTGCGGCACTGAGAAGATCAAGGACAATATTGAGCCACCTCTGAAGACACAAGAGGAGGAATTCCGGACGTTGGAAGTTTTCGACCTGTAGAATGTTGTCCTGTATGACAGCTTTGGACCAACCATAGGCCCGTATTGTTTCGAGACCGTCAACCTGTCAGAGTCAGATCAGCTGGTAATACTTCTCGAGTGCTGATTGCTACCTACAGATTCTAAAAAGCTGGAGAAGACCCCTGCTCGAGACTCCAGCTCCAAAAGTCGGAGTTGTCTTGATGTCCGAAGATACACCCGTTGGACGAAATAAACCAGAACCGCACAGACTGGTAAAGACACTGTAAGCCATCTTTCGGCCATACAAAGAAGTATGACCTGCATGAGGAGCTTGAAGATTTCTGCCAGCATTGTTACTTTGAGGACTTCTCGAAGAGAAAAGTTCAATACCTACGAGTCATCACAGTCTGGAGTGCTGATGGTAATTGCTTGTCAATAAGCTGGATATCTTGACTGAATCTAGCGGCCATTAGTAATGATTGGTACATCCAAGCATAGACTTTTACCTGTTTAGGATGGCGCCATTGTCGGTTTTGGAGAAATAGGATAATGGTGCACTATTGAACGATAAGTCATCTCTTGCACTACTCCGAGATTATGGCATATTGACCTGATCACAATGTTCAAAAGACTTTCATGTAACCGCTCCCCAGATTGTGGAGCAAGTCCGGTAAGAATGGACCTGTTGATTGTCATTAATAGTAGCAAGCTGGAAAACCGTGCGAAACCTACCACATCTGAACACTCGTAGACATCCACGACATAATTGATAGAAAGAGAAATCCACAAGCATAGAACACGGTGTTCCTGCCACTTATTTCGGTCCATAGCTGAAGCCAGTATTGAGGGAAAGTGATGAAGAAAGCATATAATGCCGTGCTTGCAATTGGAATAACCAGGTTCATGGAATCAGTGAATTTGAAATAATACGCTGTACTCCAATCAGCCGCGTCCATGTTCCAAAGGCAGAAAATTACCATAGAGAGCGGGATCTCCGCTTTGTCTTGCAAGATCCAGTTCAGTCTCGTCTTTTGCGCGCAATTGAGCGCTGAGTTTTTCAAAGTTTGCCGCCAGGGCAGCATTGTCCTTCGTGTGCGGTCTGGCAGAAAATTTTGCGATCGATGTGGCTTGAGTCCTGAGGTCCTTCCAAGTTCCTTGCTCTACAATTCCATGATCACCCAGAACCACAATCTGATCCGCGAATTGGAAGTACTGAGCTGTCCTGGAGTAAGTTGAGAGTCTAAGAAATGAGCAAAGGAAAAGTACCTGAATTAGAAACGAGAACCACGGTAGTCTCTAACCGTCGGACAAGGCCTGTTGACCCGAATAAATTGGCAAAGACGGCTTGCTCCGTTTCACCATCCAGCCCACTGAAGGTGTCGTCAAGCACCAGGATATCGCATCTTGCAAACAACGCACGTGCGAGCGTCTGGACTTGTTAGCTGAGTCGATACCTGATGAATGCGAGATCCATACCACTCTCTGTCTCTGTCCTCCGGACAGATTCAGGCCACCACTGCCAGTTGCTGTCTCATCTCCATCTGGAAGGTAATCGAAGTCATGGGTGAGACAACACATAGTTGTCACTTCATCATACCATCTTTCATCGTCTTGACCGCTAGCACTGGAGATGTCGGTAGCACCGTAGATCACCTGTTTGATAGTCTTATTTGGTAGCCACGGTCTCTGAGCACAATAGGCTATCTGTTTTGTAGACAGGCTAACTGATCCATGGGCAGGAACTATTTCCCCAAGCATAGCACGCAACAAGGTCGATTTGCCGCTGCCAGTCGGACCCGATATGATGACAAGAGATCCACTGGCCACGTCAATGTTGATATTTTCCAAAAGAAGGTGTTTGTAACCGATTGCTAACTGACGTATTTCAATGGCAGGGCCTGGATTTACCAAGTGGCCAGTTGTTGGGTCCCACAGCATCGTGTTTGAAGTTCCCTTTGCCAGCGTCCCGCGATAAGCTTGTGGAGATTGCTGAAGCAGAAAATTTCGAATTCTCTCGAATCCAGCGAATGCTGCTACTGCGCGCGGCACAATAGTCATGACCATATTTGCAGGATGTGTGACCATACTCAAAATAGCCATGGTGGTGAATGCTGTCTCAGTGTCTAGGCTGCCGCCCCGAGCCACTGATATGACCGCAAAAATAACCATGGTGATGGCTGGAGAGAAGATTCCGAGCGCATTGGCTATACTCGCATTAGCTTATATGTAAACGCCAAAGTCGTCCAGTGCGCATGACAAACCAGATGCGTTGTAATATACCATGATCCATCTAAGCTTTGAAGCTGCCAGAAGCTCGTCTCTTCGAAGTTCTTGAATGCGATGGGCCAGGTTGTGTTGGATTCCAAGCATTTTGACAACTTTCATTATGCTCAACACGGAGCTTGTGGCAGCTATGCGGCTCTGTGTTGCTTGATTCCAAGCTTTTTGACGGGGCTGTAGGTGTTTTGCAACGAATCGACTCATATGCGAACATACTACACATCTCAGTATCGAGGCGGAAAGGCGAGGGGTTATCCTTACAGTAAATCAAAAAGAGTGGGAGAGGCCAGATCCAACCAACCTGACTGGCCAGGAGTCCTATACCAATCAGCACTTCGATGATTTGGGCCCATGTTTCGTGGATCATTTCAGCAATCCCATCGAGACTATCTGCGTCAGTACTCATAAGTGTAGTCGCCTCGCCATTGTTATAAGCGACGCTAGGTGACTTCATGGTCTTGTCATGAATAAGGCCCACAAGAGCACTTCTAGTCATGAGTTTCAATCGGTTGATGCGATGTTGGTACACAGATGTTGATAGCTGAGTGAAGATGTTAGCACCCGACAAAGGAGAAGGAAATTGAACCTTACAGCAAGACCAACGTAGATTGTCATGGCTGATACAATAAGCCGAAACTCACGGCTGCTTTCAGCATCCGCCGGGCTCGCAACAACGTATTTGATAGACTCTCTGATTAGGATCGGCTGAGAATAGCGAAAGATAAGCAAAAATAGTCGAGGGATAATAGCCGCCAAGAAGGGCTGCTTCAGGCATTTGAACAAAGCTAGAGGCAAAGTCCTCTCCGTTTCGGGCCTGGCTAGTCTTGTAAGACATAAGAAATGAGCGTTCTGAGGTTCTTGACTAACCACGCTGAGACCATGTTTCAAGTATTGCCTGTCTTGTGACCTCTGGCTTCATGTCTCGATTGAGAAGTGGCAAATCTTGGTGGACGAGAATCCTTTTGTACCCTTGAAGAAGAAATGGATTGATCCATATGAACATAGCCCTGTTCAAGATGCCGTAGAGTTCTTCGGGTGACTGGAGCTTGCTGGAAGATCTAAATGGTGAGCTCCAATTGGTGCAGAACTCCAGTAGCAGAAGCGCCGTGTGCATGCAACAACGAAAAAACAACAAACGTGAGGCATTTGCATGTGAGGCGCTCTGAGAAGGTATAGTTAGATAGACGGTATCGCACAGTATAGTTGCAAAAAGATACAGGGTAGCCAGAACTGAAGCTCTATGAGACCTCTGCTGCTCATGAAGTAGAAGCAGACTCAAGCCCAATGCAGCAATGATTGAAGTAAACAGTGAGGTCAGATAATCAGACTTATGCTGAACATCCAAGCTTGAGATCTTCGCCCAACATAGGGATAGTACAACCGACAAAAAGATCCCAAGCGCCTAAGATGTAACTGCTGTTAGATATAGAGCTCGCAGTCAGGATTGGAGGAAGTACTGACGGCCTTGAAAGGTCCTCGCCAACTTGGAGTACTTCTAACGCTAGATTTACGCAGCTTCCAAAGTCTGACGGGAAGAATCAACAGAAATATCGTAGCACAGGTTGTAGATATGATATGGATAAGCTGTGTGAGGTCTGCCGCCATTGTGGTTTGTGCAGTCGAGATGGACATGAAGTGGTTGCTCAGCAAACATGATTCTTTATAACAAAGGACGGCTAAGCGGTCAAAAATGGCAAATCCTCACCGCCAAGACATACACTAGAATTATTGTTTCAAGGTTGTCAAATCCCTGTCACTCCGAACGTAGTACACCTATGTTGATTCGAAATTCTCCTTGTCGTAAGCAGACTGCTCCGGGCGTGGCCGTACGCTTATGCGGCGCACAGTAAGGTCGATGATAATCGTAATCACCGCCTCGAACTGACAAGCATCTATACTGCAGTCGTCTATCCTGAATTAGTTCAATTTAGAGCAAGTTGATTCAATTCAAATATACTCGAGAAAAAGCACATTATTGAACATGATATGCGTGTTCATGATCCGGACCTATCGTTGGATTATCACCCTCACAATCGCTGTCGAAAGCATCAGACTGATATAATCCGAGATCAATCCTTCGAGATAAATGAGAAAGTCCTTCTACCATTAATTGCTCTCTTCTATGTAATTTCGAGAATTCCAGTCGGATTCTGATCGCATTCATTAAAAGGAAGCCTCGTAGTTAAAGATCTTGTCTCTTCGATGACCACCTCATTCACCCCTCGAAAACACTTTGCTGAATGCTATCTATATAATTCAAGGCCTCCGGCCTCTGCTCATTCTTTCAAATTATGAGCCATTGGCATTGAAGACCATGCGCTTAACACCAGCTTTGTTGGATAAATCGCTCATCAAGTGTTCGATGCGTCCAAACTCCGCACGACTGGAAATTGATACACCTTCAATTGGTGGTTCCAATTTGTCATCACTCCCTGGGGTTAGTGGTGGGTAGTATTTTATCAGGCCATCAAAAGATAGTCTGACTCTACTGTCAGTAATGAGGGAGGATAACAGTCCAACGGAATTGTAATACATATCAGATAATCTCGCAGACCAGCCCAGCCTCGCACATACTCGGGGATCTGATTGCTTCCTTTAAAAACGGCGCCACTTATTACCGGTACTTCTACCATACGACAGTTCTTGAGACTCAAACTGCTGTAATATGGAAAGAGGTTCCGGTCTACTGAAGGCCGCCAAATGCCTTAGCCATGTGGCCTATTTCATAGGAAGATGCTGCAAAAACACGGTTCATCTCATAGGGAATGTATCTCAGACAGTCAAGAGAGCCCTCATCTTTGGAACCAGTTGAAGCGACTAGGGCGTCATGCAGCTCTTGTTCAGAAACGCCACGATGATGTCTCTTCTATCACGCATCCACTTGGCATGATTGCAGCTCAGAACAAGCCACCATATCTTCCGCCATAAGCAGTCAATGGTATCTGACGTCTGCAAATTGTCAGTTTTGAGAGATCTCCACAAAGAACGCGATATTCTCCTGTACTCAGCTCAAGGCCACTCGTTGGTCATGAAACCCAAGATTTGTATTTCCAGTGCCCCTTACTTGGCAACTAATAATCCAGTCTTTGACAGATGCATGGTAAGTGAATATGATTCAAGTGAAAGGTGACTCGGCGTTCGCTGCAGTCACCATTATGAAGGACATGCTGTATCGTGAATTATAGGAGCCTTCTACTTTGATTCCAGCGCCGTATATATATACGGCAACCGGTAAGACGTGCTGTTCATGACAATGAGGACGAACGACGTTGATAGTAAGATAGTCTTCCGATTGTGTGTATTTTCCGAAAGGTTCACTGTCAATCCTCTCTATTCCAGATGAGCTGATTTACGCAAGAGTGTGTGATCTAACAAAGACAAGATATTCCGAGTATAATGTCATATCGTAAGCATTCAGAATACAGGATAATTTACAACTGGGTGGTGATGTTCTGGTACGTGGCATAATCATACAGCTGATACAGAAAGTGTAAGCATGCATCAAACCTGGCTGTAAGCATGCATTGTAAGCAATGCACAAACTTGAGCATGCTTACTTTTCCCTCAGATTACCCAGGAGTAATTCTTTTCACATTCAATGATACGAGCTTCAGAAGAAAAGCTAAAGTTCGCGCCAACTAGCCCCCATGATGATCCGACTGAGTTGAACATATGTGTAAATGACGCTTTCGCTCATTTACCTTTCTAAATTGTGACTGTTTCCATAAATAAACTAGTAATTTTTTTTCCCGGTGCTGGGAGTAGTATCATAGCGGTAATTTCTGACGAAGGGAATGGAAGAGTTCAGTCTATAGTCGCTCTATGACTTGAAAAGAACGGAACTATACTTCGGATAACACTTATAAAGCTGGAAGATAAGGAATAATATTATTCCTCTTCGTTACTATTTATTGACTTTGATTCTATCTGAAATAAACATAACCGTCATGCACTAGCGATCGTATTTTCTGGCTACAGTTGTAGATATATATTTGACGTTCACTAGGATATAACAACAACCTCTGACAACCCAAATCACATTCCCGGAGTCGACGGGCTAAAAGGGGTCCTTCTAACCCGCCTTTTGTTTATAGACGTTTCTCATCTGCATTCTAGGCGCAACGTGAACAAACAGATAGGCCAAGGTGAGCTGTTTACGTAGGGTAGCCCCTAATCAAGAGAGTAGGATCCAAAATTTTATAATGCAAGACCTTCCGTTCAACTTTCCAAAGCATTGAGGTCAACGAAGATTCTACTCTAGATACTCGGGACATCGTAGAAAGTAAAACCACGGACCAACTCATTTCAAAATTCACAGCCCTTGTCGCCACCATGAAGACGTCTCACCACTGCGAAGGGTCTCACCGGGGGACCCTATGAGCATGAATTCTTCTTGGGCCTGAGACCCAACAGCTTTAGATCTACATGAACTCATTAAAAGTTGGGCTCCAGAATGTCTCAAGCGGGCTGCAGCGGTCTCCGGTGTGATCTCGCGTGTCGGCTCCGCGTATAGTTCGTAACCCCCGAAGAACTTCTTGATGGAAGGGAAAAGTAAAGGAGGGCTGAAATGCATATGAAGATAGCTGCTCTCCAACTCACCTTCTGTGGCATTCAACGGTGCCTGATGAAGTGCCGAGACTAGACGTGTTAGCCCGCATTTTCCCTGGAACCATTGTGTTGTGGACACAGTTCACATACTATAAGGAAAGGTTGTTTCAAAAAGGTTATCGTATAGCTTGGCCACTTGCAGTATGGCTTCAGAAAACTGAAATTTTTCGGTCTGGCTGAGGTCAACCAGCCCCCGGACTTGACGCTTTGGTAATAAGAGAACTTCGTATGGCCAGACAGCCCACCAGGGACAGACTGCCAGGAATCCATCATTTTGCCAGACAATACGTTCTTCTTTGTCCATCTCCAGTCGGACATAGTCTTGTAGCATATGCCTTCCACCGTGATATTGACGATACCTGCTCATTTGTGCAATTTCCTGGCTTGGTCCATCTGGCATGCTTGACGTTATCCAAATCTGACCATGGGGATGAGTGTTGGAGCAGCCCACAATTTCCCCATTGTTATCAAACACGTGCATATACCGGAGGTTTGTGTTTTCCAAAGTGGTTTCTTCTCGAGAACTTGGGCCATGGTCATCGGCACTCGTTGTACTCATTCTGAGGGGGCTGTCAGAAGAAAGGTATCTGGAGTAGATCCTGGTCCAGGCGTCAACGATGCAGAGTACGTCTTGGGCCGTCATATCGGATATATTGTAGTGGTGAATTGCTGAATATGTTAGGACATAGCATCGACCGATCACGGGCTCGACACGCAGCAAGTCTGGGGCAACGTCTGGAGAGGGGCATAATACGGTTAAAACAGGCAAAGCTAAAGTGAGATCGTCTTCACGTACCTATCTCAGGAGTATGTTGGTGGCACTCTCCCTCGTCCATTCTCACCGTGCTAAAATCATTTTCAAAAGCAAATGTGCCCGTGTATTCGGGGTTGCGGATGCCATTAGCTCGAGTATTGCCGGGGCACAAGTAGCACTGCAATATCATCAGCTGTTGGTAACATTCACATCACTTGTAAATCTCACATTGGGATCATATGCTTGCTTCTCACTGGCTGTCACAACCTCTCTTTGACCTCTGAGTTGGAATTTTCTCAGCGAGTTTTCACTGCCAGGAGTGTAATAGCACTTACTGCCGAGGTCGCTTGTTCTTTTGCGGAGAAGCAAGTAGCACCCAGGTACCTTTGAGGGGATCAAACCTTCTATGCGCAATGTCCTTGAGTTTCTTTGGAGCCATTATTGAAAATTCTTTACAGCAGTCAACACTCCGGCGATCGGAGGAGGGTCAGAATATCAACATATAGGTACTCTTATATGACCAGTCAGCTTTCCAAAAAACCGTGCGTTTTTGACAATAATACACACATGCTACGTACACTCACTAAATGCCATGTATTATTAGTCAAAATAGTGTCCGAAGATTACCTTGTTCAAGTCAGCGATCATGGCCCAGTCAGATCTATTATGTCTGTTTCTATAAGACCCGCATACAGAATGCTTACACCCGGACAGGCAAGGATTGGCGCCACTGGAAGAGCTCTTTGTATGCAGACCACAGAGTAATCATGCAGAATAAACACTTCTTGAAGTAATAGTGCCATGTAATATGAGACAGAGCTTGAGGCTTAAGCATCTCTTAAGATAGCAGCATACGAATGCCTTCATGTCGGGTTTTGTGTCGGGTTTTAATATCAATCTTACGTAATCTATCAATCTCCCAGATGATTTGCCGTCTCACCTATTTTCGTGAAGCTTACTATTGTGTACTGTCTGCATGCCAATGAATAGCTTTTTTGTCAACTACCACGGAAAGATCTTTTGAGCACTATTTGGAATGAATACAGGAAGAACTTTGATTAAGAAAACTATCAAATGTAAGGACCTGTTAAAAGACACTCTGGCGGCCATCAACTAGCTACTAAAGAAAATCGTTGCGAAAAAAGTTCAAAAAGACGAAACCAGTGCTAAGTGCATAATGCATGTATGCGGTGGCCATAGTAAAAGAATGTTGGCTGCATAGCTGTAGTCCCCCGATTTAGTCGTCTCTCATAATATCTGTACGTACGTATCTTCGTACAGCATAAGACGTACGGCCAACATATTAATGATCTGGGCCGTGTATGGAATTCAACACTTCTGCCCTAGCTTTGCGAAGATACAGTTGCCTCGACCAGAAGAACGGCCGCCACATAGTTTCTGAGGAAAATCACCAACATGAAGCGGATGGCACGTTTGTCTGACTCATCTAGATGTGAGTAAATCTCCTCAGATGTCAAGAATAGGAACAGTGTGGTCGCAAGAAAAGCCTCCACGCCTTCACATCTCATGATGGCTTCTCCCAGATCCATCATCAGACGACTTAGAGACATGAACATTTTCCTTTGGCCCGTCATACGCTCTGGCTCGTTGCCTTCACCCTCAGTATTAGGGTCTTGAGCTAGGTGTTTTGCCAGCGCGGCCACCGCATCGCAGAATATCCTCAGAGTCTTCGGATCGACTAAGTCGTGCGCTGAAAATGGACCTGGGCAGAGCTCCGGCGTCCAGGGCTTCAGGCGAGCTATGATATTGTCCTTCTTCATTTCGCCGATGATCTTGCGGCCTGGTTTCCGGATTTCCTCGCGTCCATCTTTGTATAGAATCATTTGCAAGTTGCAGTGCTTGTCATAATCCATGATTGCCGCCAATCTTTCCGTGAGAACATTGAGGTTGCTGAAATCAGCATCTGATAGGCGAAGGTTGTTGTTATATTTGTGCACCACGGGACTGGGCGCACTCACGATAGCATTGCGCCATTGAATCAGTCTCTCGCCCTTCAAAGCAAGAGGCCCTATATCGATGAGCTTGCTCGGATGGGACGGCTGGAGCAGCTGGTTAAGCTTATCCTCAATGCGCGAAGACTCGCTCGAAAGCAAATCCAAGAGCTCGTCGTTCGAATTTTCGTCTTGATGACCGACGAGGAATTCAATGAGACTCTTCTTCCGGCCAGAGATAGGCGGTAGATCCGAAATTTGACCAGGATGCTTGCTGGATAGATGGAAAGCCGTAATAATGCAGCTTCTCGGGTCGCCTTCCTCGGTCCGATAGCGATGGTGGACAAGCGCTCCTGCTGGAAAGACGATTGCCAACGGTTGATCGGGATGCTTTGCCTCTACCACGCTCGAGCTGCCTTTGACCTGCTTCTGAAATTCAAATAGACCGTTGATAGCATCATGACTCACAAAGAGACTATCTCTCTCTGTAGACCAGGGCAGTCCCTCTGCATCGACGAGGATATCTCGGTTGCCTTTGTGAGTCCAGGGTAGAAAGGTGAAGTTTTGACCAGAGGGACCCTTCACTTGACCTCGTCTCCAATTGAGTAAGACTTTGTATTCTTCTTTGAAAGGTGTATTATCAACATGGAGCATGTTGTCCTGGGCATTGATTGACAAAGGATTGTTGTCCTTCCCCCTAAAATCCACAATGCGGATGGATCCTCCAAGAAGATAGGAGATTAGAGCAACGAGGAGCGGGTGGCTAAAAGCCTCAATATACTCCCCCCCAAGGAAGAAGTTATGCTCGACTGCGAGGTTGACATAAGAGTGCATGAAGGCATTGTTGCCGGATTGCACCTGCACCTTGTCGTATGCGGTAACAAGCTTCTCAAAGATGGCTTCTTCGATTAGGCCGCCAAATAAGCCGCAACCGTCGGTTTGAATCATGTCGACTAACTGAAGGAACTTGGCCTCTGTGTCGTCCCCCTTCCACCCCTGTCGGAGGCTGCGGAGCAACTTGACGCGGAAGTCTATCTGACTCGCAGTAGGAATGCGTTGACGGTGCGGTACGGTATCCAGCCGAAGCCCCGGCACCATGCTGTTCGTGACTGTTCTCTCATGAAGCAGAGAGGCTTGCAATTCGACAGGAATGTTCAACGTAGGTCTCATGACTTCTTCGCTCGAAAGGTTGCTCATATTAAAGGGTTTGGAGATTCGCGGGCGTTATGCTTGTGTAGTGATTGTGAACTTGAATGAATTCAATAGGCTTGACTTAGATTCAGAAGGCTGGTAACCCGCAAGGAAGTCTTGGAGCTTTATTAACTCTCTGCCTGAAACCTGAGAACAATCCATTGCTATGGAATGAGCTCTGTAGCCATTTGGGTCTGTCATCAAGTAAGTAGTTATTGCCTGTATGTCATACAGTAAGCATAATCTCAGTTCAGTCTTTGCTGATATAGCTTATTGTTGATTATACTCGGTATTTATTTGCACGGCACCAGATAGTAATACAAGGACAGAAATAGGTGAAGTTTACATAGAATTGGTAATTATTTATAAATCATATTATCTTATGTATCTAGTATAATGTCGAATATCAGATATCAGAATACCAAAATCAGTGACAAGCGTTTTTTGTATACAATCAACAAGAAGCCAGTATGACTGACACAAAGAATAATCACCTGCCTCTTGAGGCCCGTCCAATGAAGAATACCATATGCCTCTTTGATCTTGACGGTACTTTGTGCCCAGAAAAACAGGTATGTGCCACATCTGGCTAGGTCATACATGCTTGATACTCGACAAGAACTTTTCATATGACTCGCATCCTCTTCCTAAACTTGCAGAGATCATGAAATTGAGAATCTGTCCAGGTTGCCTCGCAAGAAATGCACTCACTCCTCGGCCTGCTTCGCCAGAAATGTGCTATCGGCTACGTCAGTGGTGGACCTCTTGCAAAACAGCAGCAGCAACTCAGCACTCCGTCAACCCCAGTGATCACCCTCTTCGATTTCTGCTTCCCCGAAAATGGTGTCACGGCTTTTAGAATGGGCACCCCTCTCCCAGGGACCACATTCATTGAGCAGGTGGGCGAGATGAGGTATAAAGAGCTAGTCAACTGGGTGCTGCGATACATCGCGGACCTGGATATCCCGATCAAGCGAGGCACCTTTGTTGAGTTTCGGAAGGGTAACGTGAATATTTCACCCATCGGGCAAGGGGCAAATTATGTTGAAATGGAGGAATTCTACCGCTATGATGAGATCCACGGGACCCGGAAGAAAATGATTGAGGCATTGGAGAGACAATTCTCAAACCTGGGCTTGAGGTATGCAATGGGAGGTAAAACTTGTTTCGATGCCTTTCCCGTCGGCTGGGACAAGACGTATTGTCTGAGGCATGTAGAGGCCGAAGAGGAGAGAAGTGGAGTGGCTTACGATGAAATCCATTTCTTTGGGGATAAGATTTACGAAGGGGGAAATGATTTCGAGCTCTACATGGACCAAAGAACGATTGGGCATGTAGTAAATGGCCCCGAAGATACAATACGACAGGTGAGAGAACTGTTTGGGTTGTGAAAATCTGCAGATTTCATTCTATAGGTATATAGCAGCATCTACGATACACCTACAGGAACTTAGAATTCTATGGCATCTGACAGGAAAAACCAGGCGTGTTTCAGATTAAATGTAGCACTTACACTCAACACACCACAACATATTTATTTTCTAAACGCAGACCAAGTGTGCTGAGAAATCCGGTCCAGTCTTATGAGCAGGTGAGTATTGGCACTACAAGAGGACATCGGCTGATCAACACCTGCTCCTGCCTTAGGACCCGGGGAAGATAGTTATGCATGCTTACGGTAATATCATGACAGGGCATATTAGACGATTAACTAAATTTAATGCATGCTTATTTTACGAAGAGTAAGAGTACAGTAACATGTCAATTCTGTGTCTACACTAGACATAAAAATCTCTTACTGACCTTGTAGCAAGTACCACTTATAGTTCTTTCTATTCCAGATGCAATCTTTGACACAACATAACATTAATGGCTAGGCACTATGGATACTCACAATGGTCTCAATGAACAAAAGATTCTAGAGTCGGATGTACTTATAATCGGTTCTGGTCCTATTGGTGCTGTATACGCCAGGACAATTACCGATGCGGACAAGAATATTCATGTGCTCATGGTGGATATGGGGGAGCAGTAAGTACTCACTACTTGGTTTTTTGAATAAATTCGCATCTCTAACATCATATGATAGAGGCACGAAGTTGATCGGTGATCACAAGAAAAATAGTATTGTGGTACAGAGGGGTAGCGGCAGTTTCACCAGGTAAGTGTCAGAAATGACAGCAATTATTATAAACATCTTCTTAATTATATCTACAGTACTGTTCAGGTATGTTGTACTCTGATCGAATCCTGACTTAGTCTAAATTTTGGCCAAGGGAGCATTCGGTCGACTATCAGAACCAGTTAGCACAGCAACTGCTTCAGAACCTGTTGCTTGGTCAGTTGTGTGAGTTCTTACATTCCCTGAGACACTATTTCTAATCGATCCCAGTCGATCAAAATCTGCATCGTACAATGGTAGTTCTGAGCAACTACACTTGAACAGTCTGCCAGCTGCTCCTGTCATAAGAGAAGTTGGAGGCATGGGCTCCTACTGGAGCTGTGCCACACCCGAACAGCACCCGGCGGTTGAAAGGTCAGATCTATTCTCCGATCAAGAGTGGAGAGCATTATACAACCAGGCCAGAGCTCTTTTCCACACCACTGACACAGCATTCGATTATTCAATTCGCCATCATCTTGTCAAAAATACTCTCGTCCGAGCACATAAGAATCGAGAGATTGTGAACCTGCCTCTGGCATGTCATCGAGGTACACATAACTTGGAGTATTTACAATGGACAGGCTCAGCCACAATCCTGGGAGATCTTGCAGATCCAAAGTACAGCGGTGGGAACTTTGAATTAAAGGCTCAGCATCAATGTACCAGGCTACTCATGGATGGGGCATCTAAACATATCGTTGGAGCTGAGCTTATTAACCTACTAACAAGGGAGGTTATATTAGCCAAAGCAAAGAAGTACATAATCTGTGCTGGCGCTGTTCTTACTGCTGGAATCCTTTTTAATTCAGAAATTCAACCACACAAAGGCTACCCAGCTTTAGTACGTTCTTCTGGCTTTCTTCAAAGATTATGTAGCTAATCGCTAGCAGGGACGATATTTGACTGAGCAGACCATGGCTGTCGGCCAGGTTGTGCTAAAAGATGGCATAATAAAGAATGCTTGGAATGATCCACGGTGCAAAGAGCACTTCAGAACATTCCCTGATGATCCTTTACATATCCCTTTTAATGATCCTTCCCCTCAGGTACAGTGGTTTTGGTTGTCCAGTTCGCAGGTTCTCGCTATAAAATCACTAATGAACTGCATGGCAGATCACCATCCCAGTTTCTGAGAAGCATCCCTGGCACACACAGATCCAACAAGATCCATTTCACTACAACTCTGCTCCAACTTCAACTGACCCGCGCCTCATACTCGACTTACGCTGGTTTGGATACGTCAAACCTGTGTATGATAACTATGTGGAGTTCTCCTCAGAGGTCACCGACCTTTTCGGAATGCCTCAAGTAAGTTAACCCTTTGGCACTCTCATAATGGGTCAATGGTTTCTGACAAGCCAATGCAAGCCAACGATACACTATCGTATCGGGAAGGAGGACGCCGAACGTGCGGAAGCTATGGTACAAGAGTAAGTGTTTTATTGACTTCGACTGATCTTATATCAAAGGAATGACTGCTTAAGCTTTTCGCGCGGCAGCATGATAAACATTGCCGCGGATCTTGGGGACTTTCTACCCGGTGGGAAGGCGAAGTTCCTCGCTCCAGGCGCTGCGACGCACATTTGCGGGACGACTCGCGCCGGGAAGGAAGATGACGGACATTCAATAGTTGACAGGAACTCCAAGGTTTGGCGGCTGGAGAATTTGTTCATTGGGGGCTGTGGTGTGATCCCTACCCAAAATGCGTGTAATCCAACCCTGACTGCGGCATGCTTCGCCATTGTTGGGGCAAGAAAGGTTGTTCAGGAATTACATGCGCTCAGAGGCCAACAGTATCAGTCGAAACTCTAAGCCCAGAGCAGCAGCAAGTTGGATGCATAGAAGATTTGATATTATGAAATAAACATGTATCACTCATTAACCCAGAACTAAGAGTGCCACTACGATGATTGACTGACCAAAAGCCCTTCATCGCGCCAGGATAGGTAAGTTAGTGTTCATTTTGGTTGGCCTTGAACCCCTCGAAATCAGGTGCACCCTTGAAAACGGAAATCGCAGAATGCCTACCATCGCCTGTATTCCACCTCGATTCTGGTAAACATCGCTCAAGCCCGTGTACTGAAATTCCCGTGGAAGAGCCAACACGTTTCTACCGCCGTAGGTGATCCATTTTTTGTTCACGCCGGGTCCTATCCGTGCGGATTTGGATGTGGATACCAAAGTGGTATCCGGATGAGGATATGCCGCAGTCTAGTGCCAGTCCAGGCTGGCTTCATTGCACTGTTTGCACAGCCTCTTCAGGTCCAGCTGTCAACTGTGCAAGGATCAGTAAAATCAACCATCTATCTTCAGGGCACATTTGATACATCAATGTATCAGGCAAGTCCAACGAAGTTCACATTTCCTGGCCATCTATCTTTCTGGGATATAGTCACAAACGATCGGATGTTCACAGGTAGACATCGAAATTTGCTATCCATCTTCAGCTGATATGCCGGACTCTTCCCCGTCGACCTTCTGCAACTCTTCACGAGACCGAAACCCTGGCACGACCATCCCCTGACTGCTATCCGTCGAGGCATTGTCATCTTAGGGAGCGCCCGGTGGTACGTATTGGATCCGACCACGATCAATGAGCTTACCACGCTGCGGAAATGAGATCACGTACATAGAGTTGGAACTAAGGGTACTAACGCGATAATGCCATGGCACAATTCGCGACAAACCTTATATCTTCGTTGCTGATTCTTGAAAAATGTTAACCAGTGCCTAGTGGCGAATCAAGCCAGATCATAGGAACCGCCTTGCAGTCGTCACCCTTCGAGAGCAGTATATTTCATGTCGCTACTATGGGATACACCAACTCCGTGCCTTACGTCCAGAGACAAATGGACGTCCATTTGAAGGACCTGGCTGGTTTTGACAGGGCGTTCATTGATGTTGATGATATTTTGCTGGCTTCTGCAAGACAAACTTCTACAGGGAACTTGGAAATGGGGTCTCTGCTTGACTGATATCGATGGTACTGGATAACATGGATGGCATAGATTGTGTCGAATTTTACCAATTGACCCTGTCATTATGTACTTCTCGATGCAGTGGAAGACAAAACATCACACTACTCGGGTTGCCCATTCCCAACCTGTCCATCAATGGAGTAATTTCCGAAACACGCATACTGGTACATCGCATCCTTCTTCAACAAAGGGACCGTACGAAGAAATGTGTCGACCGGACAAAACCCATTCTTTGAATGTTTCTCACAACCAGGCAGTCCACTCAGAGGCAATGGTGCATTGTTCAAAACAAATCGGATGTAGTCCTTCGTGTTGGTGAATGTAGACAGGTCAGGGTTCGTGTAAAGTGTAGAACTCAGACCATTGAATGACGTATTATATGGGCATGTCCAAATCTCAGAGACCAAACGGGCACCGAACGGAGTCATATTTCCCAGCTGGAAAGTGTGCGGAATCGCATGGTCAACTGAACTCCGGAGGCCATGCGGGCCATATTTGAAGTGATCCAGCCCGAGGGCCGTCAGGACCGAAAGTATGATATTTTCATGAGACATGTCCATGTAGAACGGCTGATCCATAGGGAATTGAGCGGTGTTGTCATCATATGTCGAGTTGATACTGGTGTCACTGGAGTGGATCAACTTCAACTGCAGCCGTGCGGCAAGTTCGAGCACATATCCAATTCCATCTGCCCGGCCAGTAGGGGAGCCGAAGGAGTAATCAATATAGTAACTGAGATCGATGCTATATGCATAGTCACGCCATTCCTGTTCAGTGAATAGGGAGCAGAATGCGGAGGTTCCGAGAGTGGCGGTTTCATATGGACAGAGGTTCTGCATTGCTAGGACATCCAGAGCAGTGAGGTTAAATTCTGAAGGGAGGAATGTAGATAGCCTGGTTAGGGCCTTCTTTGAGTATCTGGATATGAAGTCAGATGCTGTATTATCCCTAGATTGTGTAAGCATACTGATTCTATGCAGTCACGCCTGGTAAGGTTTATCTGGCTTATAACATACCCCACATCAGAATCACTCGGACAGACCTTGTTAGAGGCCAATGTGTTGTTAAATCCGTCAGCCTCGGGAATGATAACAAGGTCATATTGTGAATAGGAGCTGTTGGCACCAATGTTTCCAAAGAAGCCACCTTGGATCGCGTTAATATGTAATAAAATAAACAGAATGACAAAAGGATAGACTTACTCAACCACCAACGAGCGCTTTCCAGAATTCTCGACTGCGAGGTAGTTCTGAATACCGGTTTGGGTCGCGAAGTCCCATTAGGATATTTATTCAGTGAGGGATCCCAAGCCGCAGCCCCAGGTTCACTACGGTAGAGCAGCCGTCCGTATCGCCTCCAGAAGTCAGCCCCAGCGGTATCTTCTGTCGCAGCACCACTAGCCAGCAGAAGGTCTTCTCCAAGCAAATATGTCCAATCGTTCAAGAATCTCAGTGGCCCTCGACCGATTGCTTTGCTCGGGTGGGCCTTGCTGTAGTTCACGAGTTTTGAATGGAAATTCCTCATCGCATCCACATTCAGCAAGCCTGAGGTTGGGAAACGCTCAGCATGTCGATGGAGTACGTGGGCTTGTGATAACTCGCAACCATGGGGAACGCCTTTCGGTAGACCGAAGTTGCCATCCTTGTAGGGGCTGAGGTTTCCCCAGCTTTTAGAGATGTCGAATCCGTTAGGATATGTTGCTCCGGTCTGTGTAGAAGAACTAGTAGACGAAGTCAGAGTCGCGGATGTGAGGCTTCCCAGAAATGCCAGGGCGGCAATAACCTGGCTCGTACCCGGTAGTAGATTCATTAGAAAGAAAGCACGAAGTATAGCTTTGCTTGAAATGTCAAGTGAGCTCTTTGAGAGGCCCCATACAAGCACAGCATCTCCAGGATAAGCGGACTATAAATTACAAAAACATTCTGCCTGAAGCTAACGGCTGTACTCCGTATTGGAGGAGATTTCTCGACAAGCGTCGGGATAAACCGCTGATCGGTGGAATGGGAAAGCTTGACGGCGGTCAGAATTGTCCGAATGATGATGTACAGGAAGTCGTGTGATGGGACAAGTGCAACTCTAATAGAGTAGCACGCATGTACTTTCCAGTATGGGCAACTCTCCCTCGGTTATAGCTGATGCGGAGTAAAGGTTGCCCGGTGTGGGGGAAAGATGAGACAGGACTGTATACTTATATTAGCAAACGTCACTCCGGTCGGAAACCCGAATTTCAGATCTAGAAATACGCAAAGGGGCGTAACATCCAGTCACACCCCACCCTTCAGCGTTCTCAACGCAATGAACATCTTAGGTAGCTGAAATGAGTGGCTCCTGGCTGGAACTCTTTCTTCAGTGGCCGTTTGCTCCTCCGATTGTGAATGCTCACTAGCTTCTGCTGTGGCCATCTCTGTTTGGTGAAGAATTTGTCGTAGTTCATCTGTCCGTATACCTGGCTATGTGTACCCAGTCTCTTCAATCACTCCGGCTTCCCTTTTGTTGCAGGAGTTCGTCTTGATCCGGTGTTGCCCATTCCAAAACATCTCTCGATAACAAAGACAGCTCCATCACTACAAGGCCAGTAGGGGTTATATTTTCTCCTTCAATAAAAGAGGATTGTTGATGGTCAATGACCAAGAGCATCTGGCGGATATCTGCATATCGTTATGCTCTCGCCGGCGCTTAGCTCCCAAAAAAGTGTCTTGTCCTATATTGCCCACTGGAAAATAGCAAAAAATAATAAATAATAATAACAATAACAATAACAATTATATAGCCAAAACGAGTACTATGTGGCCGATGTGGCTTAGATTTGATAAACAGTTCACTGGGTGTTCAGTGCCATGTCATTTTGATCCTCTGATATCCTTCTCATCCACTAGCTTGCTAGATCCACTGATCATTGGCTGTCGATTTCCAACTCCAAGCGAATTCCGGCAAATAGACAGATTCCAATCAATTATTCAATACGGCACTGATGGCATGCGACGGAGTGTTTACGGAAACAAAAATGTAAGCCTGGCAGGTGAGACCTATGAAAATTCCCGATCGGGATGGGAAAACTACCCGTATAACCATCTAGATGAAAAAATGCAATTATACTTTAATGAGACCACTCCCGAGTCCGGCTTACCGAATCTTAAACTGTCTAACTCCTACCGCCCCTGTAGCCCTCTTAGTATCTGCAAACAAATCACACCTGGCAAACAGCATCCCCATTAATATGCCATCTGCTCTCTATGCCATCAAACAGTTTGTTTCAATATTTTTACCTGAATTCAACGGCGCTTCCTTCGAATCTACGAAGCTCCGCTGGTATACAGACTCGCTGGACAATTCCTTTTTGGTTAGTCCTGCTGGAATATTAAGTCAAGCCTACATACTGACCACTTATAACGACAGATCGACTACGTTCCAACCTATGCTGAAAACTCCATCTTCGTTTGCAAGAGACTCACATCATGGCAAAGATATATCCCTGCCCCTTTCCAAGTAGCAACATTTGAGCAACCGCTCTTATAATCATAGAGAAAAGAATTTTTTCAAGGTAGTTGATTGGATGGGGGATTTCAGATTTTCGGATGTTGTTTTCACTTGACAGACATTTAATATTTGTCTTTTCTCGTGCCTTGATATTAGCCAAATAGTTTATTCCTGAACCTGGGGAACATTCACCGTCGTAAGGGCACCTAGCCTTATAATATCTGGTACCGACCTCCATTATATAGATATTGGGAATAATAAAAAAAAAGAAAAGCACATTCTTGCGACACCTTTTGCTATTGCAGCTGGTACCTTTTTGGCACGGCATATTAATTTGTATCAGTGTTGTAAACGCTTATGTGGGTCTTTATTATTATTATTATTATTTAATCAAGTTCATTGTCCATATCGAGCCCTAAAGCTATGACAGACCATATTCCATGAACTCGGGGCTCGTAGCTGTTTTTGGCCTCTTGTCCCTATGAGTTCCCGAGGTAGCCCCCCCCCCTTCTATAATCTCTCTGATCCTTTTCCTCGCCCCAAACTGCCTGTATGCGCAGGGTTTTTGAGCACGGCGCTCTCCTTGTGTTTCAGAGCAAGATGGGTGTGGCCTAGGCTGACTCTCAGCTATCATTGGCTCAATGCTAACGGTACTACTGATCTGCCCCATCGGTCGAGCCGCAAGCCCTGCATACACAGCCTTGTGGCCTGCTGCAAGGCTGGGGCGAAAGTCCGACGAACTAGGGCGTTTATGCGATGTAACACGGCAAGCTTCAAGGCATATGCAATGTGAAAGTATGTAAGATCTGGATATACATATACAAAACAAGGAGGTGGAGTGAATTAGCCGCAGGTTCGCCAGAGGTTCGCAAAAACCTTGGGATGAGAGCCTCATGGGTAGATGCATCTATTTCAGCCTGCAATACTCTGTATGTAGCTTCTAGGACTTATGTACAGTGTTTGAAGGATAAGAAAAAGAAATCATGAATTAGAAACCTCATTTCTTTTTCTTATGGCAGCAGTCTGCTCTGGAGCAATAGTGCATTCAGTGAAATTCATGCACTAAGCTTTTTGAAGTGACAAATAATGATCAGCGATTCATCCGGCGATCAATTCCTTTCATGCGCCAAGTTTCATGCGCTAAGTCTTTTGTGGTCCGGCCCGACCCGGATCTGATTCGCGCCTAGGGCTGAAATAGTTTCGGGGTCACAGTCTAAATAGTAGATATGGTCATCAAAAGTCCTTTGAAATAGAAAGGCCAAAATTGACAAAGTTGTCATTAGGAAGACTAGTTTTTAGCTTCGTATAGTATATAATCTCAGAAATCGTTGAAGTGGAGATGGACGCGTTATTTTGCTGTACGAAGGAACTACAGACGGACCTATGAGTACAAGTATTATTTTTGGTACTTAGGGCCTACGTAATAATTGCCTAAGGGGGTAAAAGAAAAGTCGGCCAACGGCCTTGTATCTCTTCTATGTCTCAGGCTCGCTGGAGTGGATTGATTATCATCTGATTAGTCGGCAAATGAAACATGAGGACCTTGGATTCTGTGGAACTACAATAGCGTAGTATGGTGTCTTGAGCACTATTCTCATTAAAAGACAATCTGGCACCCATGAATCAAATTTAAAAAATACTTGTTGAGAATCTGAGACGAATAGGCAAAGAAAATTGGAGACGCATAAATAATGTAGGCATTGGTGTGATAGGCTACGCCTAGGAAGAGGACAGCCAATGATCAGTGGCTGTGGCATGCTATTAGATTGGAAGGATTTCAAAGGATTGAGGTTGCGCGGCGCTGCGCGATGTTGGGTGATGGCTCACCCTCTGTATTGTGCACTCAGGCTCGCAACATATATCCTCCCTTTATTAAGTGACTGGTACATACGACCATAGGGTGTGGAGAACAGGGCTTCCCGTCCGCTCAGCCGTACTTAAGCCACACGCCGGCCGGTTAGTAGTTGGGTGGGTGACCACCAGCGAATCCCGGCTGTTGTATG